AAGTAGTGTTTAGAAGAAATGATTTTTATGAAATTTCATCTTTATCTCCCAGTGCAAGAGACTGTGTGTCTCTTCCATAGAAGAGCATAAGCCACTCCTCTGTGACATGCTAAGGATATAAACATGGGGGATGAATGCTACTTCATGTAAATTACAAGTGCTACTGACTCTTGAACCGCGAAACATTCATTATTCCTCAAAATATCAGTCTCTTCTACTCGTACATCATTCCAACCAATATATGCCACTGTTTACATTGCACATCTTGCAACTCCTCTCCACTTCTGCTTTATGTTTATGTTTTAATGTTTATTCAAGGCAGGACCTTAAGGAATTAGATTCACACGTTATTAGAATATTTCTTTTAAAAAAAATAATTTTAGCTGAAACATTAACCTTAAGCATATTTTTATTTTGAGTTTGCTTTCAAATTGTTCTCAGTTGGCTATTCATACAATACAAATAAATCATTCAATAAAATGTAAGGAGTAATAAGAATTAAGACATAGTCTTTTTTCCTTTACTCTATCTGCATAGTGCCTTGCTCATGTTTTTATATTCTGGAGTCTCTGAGAAAATAAGAACAAAAAACTGGAAAAATAAGAAGGATATGAGATAGTGTATGTGTGTGTGTGTGTGTGTATACATATACATATACACACACATACACACACTTACATATATATTTTTTAATCATTTGAGTTGGATAGGCAATGAAGTGGGTACCTAGGTAGATATGTTGAGCACCTAACTAAATGAGATATAAAAGCTGTCCTTCTGAAACATGGACCAAGTATATTTTGATAGTAGAGCTCTTTATATTTGAGTTTGCTTTTGCTTGCTACCTTGAGCTTACCAAAAGTTAATTGCTTAGCGCACCCATCATCCATCTATTCAATGAACATTGAGGCCTTTCTCTATCTCAGAGACTGTTCAAGATTTCAAGATTCTGGCGATTCAAAGATGAGTAAAACATAGTTTATGCCTCAAGGAGCTCACAGTTTATTATGGGAAACAGAGAAGTGAAAAGACAATTAAAATACAGCAAGTAAGTGTCATCATGAAGATGCTGATTTGATGCTTTTTGAGGTTATACTTGGAACAAATCTTAAAGGATGGATAGGAGTTCAGCAGCTGTTCAAACCTGGAGAGTACCTTCTAGGAAGAGGGGATGGTACTTGCAAATGTATGGAGAAATAAGAGTGTTGCTTAGAGAGAATAAGTGAGTGGGTAAGGCTAGAGCACTATGTGTATGTGCAGAAAATAACAAGACATGGGAGGGTTGGAGTGGGTGAGACATGGGAAAAGTAGACAGTAGACAAGGACTAGACTTCACAGGCCTTGCAAACCACAGTAAAGAATTTGAACTTTATCTTTGAATTTTGGAGGAACAACTGAGCGACTTTAACCAGGATGGAGGAATGATGAGACACATGTTTTTGAATGAGCTGCATGGACTTCATGGAGAAGGGGAAGAAGGAGTGAAACTCAAGGCAGTGAGACTAGCTGTAAATCATTTTTGATAATCTAGAGAAGAGCTGCCAAGACTAGAAACTGACCTCCAAGTCTTAAATAGATCTGGAAAGACGTCTCTTTACTCATGGAGCCTAACATAGCATTGATGACATTCATACGGGGAAAGGTCAAGAAAGAAATGTGGATTTTATTGTAATCCTAATACCTATACCAGCACACATATAGAGAGATACCTGAAGGCAGCCTTAATCTTGTGACAACTGATGATATATTCATACAATAGCTTCCCAATGCTGTTAGAGAAAAAAATGTAATGGCATGTAAAAGTGGTCATAAAATTATATTTGAAAATCATCTCATACAGAAGCATGTAAAGTATAATTCTATTTCTATTTGTATTTTCACGTGGGGAGAGATTGTTCTTGAAGGATATCTCTAAAGAGAGAGATGAAATGGGGCTGTGAGCAGAAGTTTTACTTATAGTGTTCAAAATGTTATAAAGAATATGTTCAGATACATGTATATTTAAAAATAAATAATATTTTATATTTAGTGGGGAGAAACAAGGAAAATACTAAAAATCTGTAATATGACAAGAGTAGTTAAACTCAGTGATGAGATTTGGGTTGATTTTTATTCTTTTTGCTTTTCTTCTCAAATTTATAATTGTGCATTTGTATTGCCTTGATTACACAAATAAATAATTATAAATTATGAGACTTAGATTGTAACTCTTATGTGAAAGGATAAAAGTATAAACAATGTATTCAAGCACATAGCAAGCAGTCTGTTATTTAGAATCGAACATTTGTGCTGAATTCCCTGCAAAAGACACTAAAGAAAATCATTGCATCCCGGAAAGTCTGTCTTTATTAGTGAACTTAAAGCTACTGCAGAGAAAATGGCATTGACTTACCGTAAGAAGGAATGCCATTACAAATCACAGAGAAACAAAAAATCAAAGTTAAAATTGCCATTGCTCATTCAAGAGCGCTAATGGGCTAAACTCTCCCAGTCCCAGTAGAGCAGATTTCAGGCTAGGAGAGACGTAGCTACTTAATTTTGGAATCATTCACTTATTCTCTCAATTCTGATTCTGTCTTCACCAAACAAGGAACTTTCTGATTATAATTTGGCTTTCTGTGTGAAATTCTCTCTAAGAAGACCATGACCTGTAATCCCAGCACTTTGGGAGGCCGAGACGGGTGGATCACGAGGTCAGGAGATCGACACCATCCTGGCTAACACGGTGAAACCCCGTCTCTACTGAAAAATACAAAAAAAACTAGCCGGGCGAGGTGGCAGGCGCCTGTAGTCCCAGCTACTCGGGAGGCTGAGGCAGGAGAATGGCGTAGACCCGGGAGGCGGAGCTTGCAGTGAGCTGAGATCCGGCCACTGCACTCCAGCCTGGACTACAGAGCGAGACTCCGTCTCAAAAAAAACAAAAAAAAAACAAAAAAACCATGAGACTGGGTCCCCACCATATTCCTACTTTGACTGCAAATGGAGGCCTGACAAAAGTCTCTGTTAGTTTTGCCAATGTGTGTCTGTCTTTGGGAGGTCAAGGACCTCCAAAAGAGTGATCAAATTGAAAGTTCTCACCAGCTCTGGAAGGTGGTGAATTCATCCAGGTAACATGTCCCAAAACTCCCTTTGGTGATCTGTCACCTTACTTTCCCTGGTGAAACCCACCTCCACTTGGGCTGGCTGCAGCCTGAAATGTGAATTGGCACTTTAAAAAATTCTGCAATTTTGTATCACCAATGACTTGTAGCCTGCCTCTCAGAGTTTTGAAATACAAGCTTTTGTGTGGTAATTCAACATTAGAAAATTATTTATACTACTGTGAAACAGAAGTTCCATTAATTATTGGAACCAACAAAAGCTAACTGAGGTTTACTTGTATACTTTGCTCTGGCTCAAAATCTCTGCAGAATATTTGTAAAATATTGCACAAACATCCAATAATATTGTTTTTTGCTAAAAATAATATCAAATACCACAAACAATAGGATATATACATATACCTAGATGCAAACACAAGTTGAAATATATCTCCAAATATTAATTGATCTTTATTATTCTATTTCATAGTAGTGTAATGTTTTGCTCAGAGCCAGCCTAGGTTTTAGGAGTGTCTCATTCATACAGAGACATGAATCACCCATTAACTATACTGTGGGTGGATAGTATTCATAAATAAGATCCAGGCATGCAGGTGATGACCTATATGAATTTGAAGGAGATATTACTACATGATTCTGATGAAAACATTGTACTGGTATGCAGGAGCAGTGTTAGGTAGAGTTAGAGAGAGAGGGGCTAGAGTCTAGGCCAGAGAACACCTTGGGCATCAAGCTGTCAATACAACAACTTCAGTTTAGTACGGTAAGCCCTGTGAAGCCACTGAAGGACTTGAGCAAGTTTACATTAGTTCTAAGCACTACATTGCCCAGAAGGATATGAAAGCAGTGTGTACGATCAGTAGGAAATGAGCAAACATCAGACAGGGCGCTACATTTGGCAACTATTGTGATTCGTCCACTAGTTCTTGGATTCTAGGACAATACTTGACAAAATGCTCTCTTTGGACAGTCTGCAGAGAAATCTGAGATGCTAGCTGAAAACAAATATTCCTGGGATTAGTAAACAGGCCTTTTAAACAAAAGGTCAGATGATTTGTTATATGCACAACCATTAGAGGGCCACTGATCTAGGTTAATGCAAGTTTTATGTAAGAAATGTTTCTAAATAGTAAGATAGGTTCTTCAAAGAATGCCATATTAAACAGATGGGATTTTGAATTTAATGTTAGGGATACCTCTAGAATACAAGTCCCTCAAAAGCATGCATTTTTGTTTTGTTTTCTTGTATGTCTTAAGTGCCTAGATCAATAACGGGTATATAGCTTGTGCTCAGCAAACATTTGTCCAGGGAATGCATAATGATTCAAAGCTTGAGTTTTAGACTCATACAAGCTAAATTCCAGCTTACATAGCTTCGCTAAACCTTGGTATACAATTTGGGGATGTTAACATAGGGATCACAGATTTAACATAAAAATTTAATCAAATAACCACTGGAAATTATTTAGCATAGTGCCTGGCACAGAGCAAGTCCTCAATCAATGACACTTACTCCTTGTATTGCTATGAATAATGTTTAGCACATCTGCAATATTATATATTAATGGATTAAGGGAGTGAGATGCTAAATCGACATTGTAAAAAGCATTTAGGTTTAGAGGTTAATACCTGTATTAAAAAATAAACCAAGGTTTTTATGTTTTCTGGATCCTGCATTATCAGAGAACCATATGAGTTTGAGCATGCATAATGACATAAACTTTTTCCTTCCTTTGTTCTTTTGGTTCAGATAGCTTGCATCTTCTAGAGGTTTGTTGGAAGGGCTGAGTTCAAAGAAAGAAGAAAATGATGAAAAGGCAAACATTCAACAAGTTGGTCTTCCGGGTTCTGTTATTCTGTCGAATGGCTTATCTTTATTTTTTTTCTTTTTGACTTCAGGTTGTATTTAAAAGGTCACACTGGGACAGCAGGAAAACAGAGCAGCCTGATCTTACACGGTGCTGATTTCAGCACTAAAGATGCTGATAATGACAACTGTATGTGCAAATGTGCCCTCATGTTAACAGGAGGTAAGTCCTATGGGGCCACTCTCTAAGCTATGTTTCATTGGTTTGGGGCTTAAGGTTTCTTATCTATGAGACCGGGGTATGATCTTATGGTCAGGAAAGTTAAGAGCAAGTCCCTAGAGATCATTTTGTTCTGTCCACGAATTTACCCCGCGTTCTTGTGTAAGACATTGCTAGCATATTTAGAGGTTTGCATCCTCCCCCAACATCAATAGTGAAAGTGTGCTAAGCTTGGTTCTGAGTACATTTTTTAGTCTCTTAAGTCCCACATATTCTACTTTCTAAATAAGCATCTTGATACCCTTAGTAAGATGAACAATAGTTTGGGAACTCAGCATATACAGTAATTACTTCTTACAAACTACTTTGCAATTATATAGTAAGTTAATTGATCATTTTGTTGAAATGAGATAAGAAAAATAAAGAGGTGTAGTTAAACCAAAAGTAACACAGTTCAGACCAGCTATACCAGAGTTTTACACTATGTAATATTAATCATTGCAAGATATTTTAGCTAGTATAGGAGACATCATTAAATAATATCATATCATAGAGTAAGAAAGTTAATCCTTTTGCACATTTTAAATGTTTTTCCAGCCTTATGATTGCCCCACAGAGAAATTCTCAGTTTGGTGCTATCACATCTGTAATACTTCCTCAGCACTTACCAATGACGCTTCTTGGCAAAAAAAAACACAAAAAACAAAAAAACCCGTAGTCTCAGAGCCTTGGTTAAGCAATGGCACATACCTAAAATTAAATAATGTTATTTTGTTTTAATTTTATGAGTTTCATATCTACCTGTCTTTTTTTTTTTTTTTTTTTTTTTTTTTTTTTTTTTTTTTTGAGACAGAGTTTTGTTCTTTTTGCCTAGGCTGGAGTGCAATGGTGCTGTCTCAGTTCACTGCAGCCTCCACCTCCCAGGTTCAAGTGATTCTCCTGCCTCAGCCTCCTGAGTAGCTGGGATTACAGGCGCCCACCACCAAACCTGGCTAATTTTTCTATTTTTAGTAAAGACGGGGTTTCACCATGTTGGCCAGGCTGGTCTTGAACTCCTGACCTCAAGTGATCTGCCCACCTTGCTTTCCCAAAATGCTGGGATTACAGGCATGAGCCACCCTGGCATCTGGCTATGTCTAACTTCTATTACAGCAAGTGGTGCTGGTTTCCTCTTTAAATGAATGATATAAACTTGCATTTTAGAATGCATTCACAATATTCTGTATTTAACAAATAATTGATTTAAAGAAAAAATTGATCCATATTAATAAAAGTTATAAGTGGATATGGCAAAACTGTGAAGTTGATACATGACTGACTGAAGTTTGGGAAACACTAAGATAAAACCCAATGGCAAATGCTATTGCTCAAGAATGTTATAGGGTCTGGCAGGAAAGGAGTTGGCATCAAACAAAATTGTAAGAGAAATTCCTATTTCAGTGTTTCTCCTCTCACAGTTTTACTGCTGCTTCTCTCTCTTACTATAGTAACAATCACTACCACCTTCAATTGTTCTAATATACTTTCTGTCTTAATTCTATTACAAAACATGTTTTCATATTAGTAAGGAAAAAATTGTTCAAATCTAATATTTTCTTTTCCCAACACTACATTACTACCATTATTATAACATATTACATATTGCTGCACATGTTGTACTATCTTACTTGAACTCCAGATCCACTCTGTGAGACAGCAGGGAGAGAAACTCATCTCTATATTGTACCTCAGGAAAATGAATGACAGTTAATGTTTGCCATTTCATCCCAAACATCTAGCACAGCTGATTGTGACACATAGAAACCTATTAGAAAATGTAGTACATGAATTAGTGAAGTAGTAGTGTACATGAATGAGTGTAGTACATGAATGACCATCTTGTAACTCTTGAAATAACTTTCAAATTTTAAAACCAATGAAATAAATCATTAGGTTGACGTTATCTTCATCAATGAATAGAGCTTGGAAAAGTATGGAGTGAAGGTTTTGGATAATTATTATTTTGAGACCAAGTCTCACTCTGTTGCCCAGGCTGGAGTGCAATGGCGTGATCTCAGTTCACTGCAACCTCTGCCTCCTGGGTTCAAGCGATTCTCTTGCCTCAGCCTCCCGAGTAGCTGGGACTACAGGTGTGCACCACCATGCCCAGCTAATTTTTGTATTTTTAGTAGAGACAGGGTTTCATCATGTTGACCAGGGTGGTCTGGAACCCCTGACCTCAGGTAATCCACCCACCTCAGCCTCCCAAAGTGCTGGGATTACAGGCATGAGACATGAGCCACCACGCCCAGCCAGTTTGGGATAAATCTTTTGTCTTCCTCCCTATTGCCAACCCTTCCATTACTGCTATCATCAAATCACAACCCGTTGACCCCAGCCATGCCACCTATGTTGACATCTTTTCAATATGATACCCGCCCCAATATTATCAAAACTAACCTATTATGATTCTGCCTCTATCGTATTCTTTTCTGCTTTTGTTTTTTTGTTTTTTTGTGTTTTGAGATGGAGTCTCGCTCTGTCGCCCAGGCTGGAGCGCAGTGACGCGATCTGGGTTCACTGCAAGCTCCGCCTCCTGGGTTCTCGCCATTCTCCCGCCTCAGCCTCCGGAGTAGCTGGGACTACAGGCGTCCGCCACCACGCCCGGCTAATTTTTTGTAATTTTAGTAGAGACGGGGCTTCACTATGTTAGCCAGGATGGTCTGGATTTCCTGACCTCGTGATCCATCCGCCTCGGCCTCCCAAAGTGCTGGGATTACAAGCGTGAGCCACCGCGCCCGGCCTCATATTCTTTTCCTTAAGCTTTGAACATATCCTTTTGGCATCATATTTAACATCATCAAATATTAAAAAGTCTCCTATATGTAATTTTATGACTCCTCTCTCAGCCCTCACCCCCAGAAATAGTTGCTACAAATCTTAAGATTTAAAAAAAAAAAAATGGTACACACAAGGTAGGTCTTGAGCTTTTTCCTGAAATAAAATTCTTCTTTTTATTACATCCCTGATCTCATAAATGAAATTGTCAGCAACTGTATACAAGGACAAAGGGACTTTGATTTTTCAATTTCCTGCACATTTTAATATTGAAATATTATTTTCTCCATGTGTATTTTTACAGGTATTTTTTCTTACCAAATAAATACAATACATGAAAAACCAACAGTAAAATCTTTCAAATGTGTCCTTAGAAGAGTATTCCAATATGTTCATATTTCTGTCATAATAATGAAAATATGGAGTAAAGCAAAGAGGAGAATGTACATCTTGGTTGTCATTGAGAAAATTTCACTGCTCAGATTTATGATTTTATTTCTACTTTAAATGATTGAACTTTGTCATGTTCTTTCATCCATAATTATTCTTGGACCCAGTTCTTACTTACCAATAAACACATGTTTGGGAGAGAATATTTCCACTTATTGCTTGGGCTGGAATAGTCTAAGTAAATGTGTTTTTGTAATAAATGCCATTACCTTATCAAATGTCCCTTTGAAAGAATCCAGGTCTTGCGAAGTTATTTATTATGGAAAGCTAAAATGTGGAATTTAAATAGCTAAGAACTGGAGAACGTAAGGATGAATGTCATTGACAGTCCAGGTAACTGGAGTATTGCCTGGAACTTAGGTCCTACTTAGATGCTCCCCACCACTACTACTTATTCTGTCAAAGTTTCCCTTAGAACCATTTTCCTCATCTAATGATTTTTCCTTTCTTTTTTTTTAAACTTAGTATTGGAGCCTGTTGCCTATTTAAAATAGCCTCTCTTAAGCAGTGAGACTTCGTACTCTTTGAAGCTAGTAACTCATAGCTCTTTGTCATTATCAATTAAAGTTTTGTTTCATCTTCTTTATTTATATATTTTTCCTTTGTTTCTTCTAAAAGGAATTAAGAGTAAAATAAGATTTATTTCCCACTAACTATCCTAGTTTTCTTCAAGTACAAAGAGGAATTCTAGTTGGAAAATCTGGTATCATTACCCTTATCGGTAAAAGACTGAATGGCAGGAAATAGGCTTAATTGAAAGCAGAAGGTATTTCAGCTAGACCGAAGGTAGGACTTGATCTTTGTTCTTCATTTCCTAACTTCCTTATTTCTTTGCTTTCTTCTGTCAATGTAAGATATTTTTAATGAGCACCTATTAAAAGGGTTAATTACTATTAAAGAAATGAGCAAGACAGGCTAGAGCATAAGTTTCATTAAAAATGTAAAAGAAATAGTTTTATCTACTATTTAACATTACGAAAATGAAAATGTAATCTCATTCAATGCATACTTTTTGTATAGATTTATTGTATGTGGAGATAAATATGTGAAAAATTCTGATTCCAGAATTAAGACAATAACAAATTCTTGTTACTAGATTGTCACATTCAAAACAAACTTACCTTCAGCATAAAACAAACGATCTTTGGTACTAAATTAGGAGCTTTCAAAATCAGCATTTCTGAAAGTTTGCTTAAGCTACAGTTAACTAAAATTATTAAAATTATATTTAAAGAATTATTTCTAAAAATCTGTCATAAACTGTAATAATTAAAAATTGTTAACCACAAAAACAAATACATTATTGTTTTACATTCCTTACTTTAGTTTCAATATAATTTCCATATTTAGTGCATAATATAAAGGCTATGTAAAAATGTGACCTAACTTTCTATAGAAATAATCTATTGAAGTAGAAACTCTGATTTATTTTCCCAACGCATAAACCATGTTAACTGATAGATAAGACTTTCTAAAGCTAACCAAGGATATTTTTCAGTTCAGTCCTTAAAGAGGGGAAAAAGCCATACACATACATTTCTTAGTACATCTAGAACTTTCCAGATGCTAACAGCAGAGAGTTGATAAATGCTCACTTTGCCTACTATATAATCTTAAAGAAGACAAAGAAAATGATAGAAGCCAGCAGTTTTTTCAACTGGTGTATGACCTTGAAGTGACAAGATCTTTGGGAAAATATAATCGTCTTAGCATTTTTGAGAATCCAGTAAGGACCT